TAATTTGTAAATAGCTTTAGTAAACTCATCTTGCATGGTAGATTAATAAGATGACTTACTGTACATGAATTACACAATAATGAGATCTGGCTATTTCCACATTTTGAAAAGGATTCAGTTATTTACTGACACTGGTGAGCATCCTCTTTAAAATAATGTTCTCATACTTAAACTTTAGAGAGCAATATCTTTAAATGAAGTATTAACACTTTGGAATAATAACATTTTCTGTTATTTTTGATTGCTTGATAACCAGTTTCAATGATGAAAATGAAAACAAGTGCTGAAGATGAAATGGATTTAATCTGGATTTTGTTTTGTCACACCTTCTGGAAAATACTTTGCAAATATGTTCTAAATTTAAAACAATTTTTTTATGATCACATGGTTCACTACTAAATGACCCTCAAATAAGCCAGATGAAAATTTGAAGAAAAAGGTCACCCAGTTCTCTGAAAAAAAGGATTTATATGTGGATATTTTTCCCCCCCAACACCACAATCATTCCTTTAGAGCCCACAAAATTGGTAACCTTAAATTGTGTGTTTTGGTAAGTAATAACTGTTTCCTCATAGCTAGTTCTCAAGCTGCATGTAAGATTTTAACGGGAAGAGAAACTAGGCCTGGACCTGAAGGTCTCAAATATGTTGAGAAGGAAGTATGAACTATAAGGAACTTGAGATGTAGATTTATTTTGCAGGAAATACAAGGAAAATAGGAAAGAAGTGTTTGCCGCATCAAGTGTAAAGAATGATACTGAGGATTTTTGCATTTTATGAAATGAAATGGCATTTACAAAATGAAAAGTGTAGTTTCACAACTAAATTTTGTTAACAGACAGACTGCATGCTTTGCTTATAGTTCTTAATTTTGGTTTTGACATTCACTTAATTTTTTCCATGTTAAATATGTAGTTTAATTATTTACTCAAAATAAACATTGTTCATGCTTTTAGGCCTTTGGGGGAATTGATTTATCTACAGGTAGAAAATGTCTTTGCACACACTACACTTATTTCAACTATACAATGTGCTCCCAAACTTCCGCATCAATCTTTAAAATTACTCTCAAACTGGTTAAAAAAAAAAAAAACAAAAACACCCTCTTGTATTTCATTTTTGCTTTTTCTTAACAATACCTTTGGCCATTTTTTTCCAGTTCACTATGTTTGTGTACTAACTTTTCTTCAGCCTTTTAATGCGAAGCCAACTAGTAGAGCATGCTTTCAGGATTTGACAGCTCTGCTAGTAGAGCGAGTATTAATACAGAATAACCTTCGCCCCCTTTAAAGTCAAGTCCGTCTAATCTAACTAGCGCCTCGCTTTGCCTTCTCACATGCTCACTAGCCATCATGCTCACCCTTCTCTTCCAGATCCACTTCCTCATGATACTGTCTTCTAACTGGGCTTACTTAAAGGATGCGAGCAAAATGCAGGCTTACCAGGATATCAAAGCAAAGGAAGAACAGGAACTGCAAGATATCCAGTCTCGGTCAAAAGAACAACTCAATTCTTACACATAAATATTTGCCAGAGTGTTTCGACCGACGTATTTACAGCTCTGACAAATCATCAGACAGCTGCTCTGCAGTACAGATGTGTATCCCACCAAACTAATGTAGATGTACAAACACTTCACTGTCTGTCTCAAGCTGCTGGGATGTATCTCTAGGAAAACCTTCCAGTGGGTAAATCTTTTTCTTTAGAACAAATATTGGAGGTTTCATGTTAGCCATTTTAAAAGGCAACACTTTGGGAATCTGTGGTGGCATGTTCACATTTATTGCTAGGGCAATTCTACCAAGACACTAATGGAATATGTCACACCCCTTGATAGGGACCTGTGACATGCCAGCATCAAGGGGTAACACCATGAATTCATATATATGCCATCTGTCCTCAAATAAGTGTTATCTACATAGGAAATAAAATGGAATTGATGTAAAGTTCCATTTCTGACAGCTGACATTTATTAAGCTTTGGATCAAAGATAATGTGATTCTTATGACTGACTTTTCAAATTAGCTTTTCCCTCCCAAGTCCAGGACCCTTTAATTTCCTGAGTCAATCAGAAATATATTTTTCAATAATGCTAAAATTAGCTACAATTCTGCTGACCCTACTATTAAACAATCTGGATTCTGGACTCATTGACAAGCTTTCCAGAAGCAATTTTGTAACAGATTTCATTTTAACAAAATACTGATTCAATTTTCATTATTCTTGGGAAATGTCAGCTCTGCCTTAATGAGTATTTGCTTTAAATTTCTAAGAATTTATATCATAACTAGAGACCCAAATATCTTTCACAGAATTTTGTTCCATAAATGTTTTTAATTAAGAAGTGTTACCTTATTAAAATGACCACCATTCTAAACCATTTTTCAGTGGTCTGGATACTAAGTTTACAGTTTCATACCAACTATCTAAAACCTAATTGCAAATTGACCACAGACCTCTAACCTCCTGCTTTTACAGACTTGAATACTTAAGTAATTTAAATTAGGGTTGGTATTACATTTTTTCTTATCTAAATCTTAGTTTCCTGGAATAAAGTTTGATGTTCAGCAAGAAAACTGCTTGAGTTTAAGCCATTTTCAAAAGAAACTTGCCTTCTACATTATTGTGTTCCAGAACATTAAGTGACTGTAGGTACTGGGTATTAGTGATGGTAAACTTTGTGTTGTTCTTTATGAAATGATTCATATTAACTGTTGGGTGCATCAGTGCTTTTCAAAGGGGCTGCTTACTATAGGGTTAACTATGTATATTCATTGTTAAGAGTTAACTTGTGGTTTGGCTGTTTCCTGGATTTTATAACATATACATGTGCAGAAATGTATTCAAATGAAAGGAAGCATACCTTTATTAAGATGCTATTAAAATTGAACATCAAGTATAATATTTCATTGGGATTCTTTTTTTGGTTAATGCCTAAAAATGCCTATTTGGGATTTTTTTTTTTTAATTAAGAGAAGCTCTCTTCTGTGTAGAACAGTTGTTCCAAAATAGCTTAGTGTTTTGTTTTCCTGTTGCATGACAGATTTAACTATTATTTCCAGCAGTGGAGGTGCTGTCAGAGTCCAGTGTTCTAGAAGAGGCAGTGTCTAAAGCCTAATTTTACTTTTCTAATTCTGGTAGCTATTACCAGGAATTTTTGGAAGTTTTGTTTAAGTAGTCTAATATTTTTTATGTAAAGAGCATTAAATTTTGCTATGTATAAATTTTTGTAACCTAACAGTGAATCAATATTTTCTATCAGTGCCAAGGGCTTCCTGTAGTTCTATTCAAGTGTTACAATAAATATTTGTAGATAATAGTCGATACTTGTGTATGCTTATTTTAAATATCTATTTAGGTGGAAATAGTTGTGGATGTACTAAGAGTAATGAAATAAAATTATAGCTTCATTCACTTGCCTTTTTACCATACATAAATCCTATCTTTGTCCTCAGTATGGTGTCACTTTTGAATAATGTGCATAGTCAAGATTTCACATTGGTATGGAAATCAAGTCTGTGAGTGCTACTTGGTTTATTTCTGGCAAAAATCTTTTCAGCAATTTAAGAAAATATTATATAATCCACTGGGCTGTATTGGGCATAAAAGTGCCACTAGCACTTCTGTAGTTCTCTGTGTAAAGTAAGAATTTTTCTGAGTAGTTTTTCAACAAATAAATGCCATCTACCTATAGGATCAACGAGGCTTAAACTTGGGCAAAGTAGAAACAAAATAAGAGCATGTGTGTAGTTATTTTTCAAACCAAAGGTACAAAAGTCTTGATTTATTCTGGAATATAAAAAAACCTAGTTCTAACGGTTGACTCTCTAGAGTAGCAGAGCTAAATACGTTACTTAGGATTTTATTTTATAATCTGTTTAAACTCTTATCTGTCAACATGATTGTGCATTTGGATTCTGTGCATCTGACCTTTCTTAGTGAGGCCCAGCCTGTGTCACTGTTGACACATGGCCATTCCTAAATGAGGTGCTGACTCTAGATCATCACCCTTTGTTCACGTATGGCAGAACAATCAGGAGCTCAATTCGTGTGCTATTTGTCACCCTACTTAGTATCTTCTGTTTAAGTGGCATTTTGTGCAATTATTTAAGTCACATGAGTCAACAGAGGAAACTGTAAAATAATGGTTAGATAAAACCACAAGCAGCCTCTTAATTATCCACAGTGATCCTGCCACAAAACCTAGGACCCTTTAGAGGGATGAGTAGAGATTTTTTTCCAGTTCTGACTTGTAAAACTTGACCTTTAAGAGATGAAAATGAAGTCAATTATAGGGAAGGAGCCCATTCATTTAAAAACAAATGAAATACTTGAAGCCCATTCATTAAGTATGAGGACCAAAGATTCCATAATAAAGATGCTATCTCAGTCTGTTCCTGCCACTATAACAAAATAACTTAGACTGGGTGACTTATAAAGACCAGAAATGTGTTTCTTACCGTTTGAAGCTGGGAAGTCCAAGATCAAGGCACTGGCAGGTTGGATGTCTGGTGAAGGCCCGGTCTCTGCTTCCAAGATGGTGCCTTGTTGCTGTGTTCTCCAGAGGGGACCAATGCAGTGTCTTCAAATGGTGGAAGGGCAAAAGGGCCTCACTAGTTCCATTGAGCCCTTTTATAAGGTCACTAATCCCACTCTTAGTCACCTGTGAAAGGTGCCACCTCTTAATTCTATCACACTGGGGGGGTTTAAATTCCAACATATGAATTTTGGAGGGACACATACATTCAAACCACAGATGTCAAAAGTAAAGACCAGAGGCAATATCTTACTATTTCTAATGCCTAGAAAAATCTGTTTTTATGTTCAGGGACAAAACAGGAGTATGCTGAGAAAAATAACCTGTTTTACAGGTAGCAGCCCAACTTTGGAGAGAAAAGAACACAGCTTAAACTTCCAAAATGTAGGCCTGGAGTTGACCAATAAGATAGATTGACCAATAGGATAGATATACTCATTTAAAAATTTAAGGTAAAAATGAGGTTAAAAGCCAGTTCCTTTTATTATAATGAATGAGAAATACTATGACTGGAGAAGAGGTTTCACGTGACTAGATTATTCTCGGTTCACACACTGTGGTATCAAAATTATGAAAAAAAAAAAAAAAAAAAAACCCACACTGGATTACACACATTTTTATTGAGTTTTGTCTGATGATAGAGAAACATTTACAAAGGAGTAAATGTTATGTAACTTCTCATGGTATGTAAGTTAGAAGCTGGGCAGCAAACATGGTTACCAAGAGTCATCTGGTTCTTCATGAGAAAAGCCTGTTAAACTAAATTAGGGAAAGACAAAAATTAAAATGTAAAAATTTGTGTCAAGTTTATTTGCTATCTTCATAATGTTCTCAATTCCTTCCCTGGGGGGTTTCTGCCCTAGCTTACAATTTATATCAGGATCAATTTCACAAGTTAAAAAACTCAATCGTTTTTATAGTCAGTAATTTTGACTGATTCAATAACTTCTTACAGGCAATCTCAAACATCTAACCGTTTCTCTTGGCTGACAAAATGAGCAATTAACAGTTTGTGTATGAAACAGTATGTAGGGAAAACAGGTACCTTTCAACTTTGTCACTAGATTGCAGCGTGTCCACTAGGGAGCCTTCTTGGACCATCTTTTTTGAGCTCTGATTACATGGAGGGGGTGGAAAATTTTGAAATTAGATATGCATTAATTTTATGAAATACTTTTCTCTAAGAACCATTTTTGAAATATATATGTAATTTAAAAGTCTAAAAAAGAGGTGACTTTTAAACATGAAATTTAGCAAGCACATCAAAATAAACTATAGGGTATGCATTTAACACCCATATTACTACAGACTTACATAAAATATTAATGTCAGTACTAATGCATTTGTTATATGATAGATCTTTTCTTCCTTGTTCTTAATGAGCCACCCCAACTTTTAAAACCTCTTAAATCTTTTACCTTAAGCAAAAAAGCTATGAGTTTTTGTCAAAAGAGTAGAATATTTAAAAGACTCAAGGTTCCATTTGAACTTTGGATTTTCTATACTTTTCACCTTTTTGTCTTCAATGGAGAAGATGGATTCCCATCCCAAGAAGTTAAACCACGGAAGCCCTGGATGTCCCCCACCCACAGATTGCCCTGTCCATGGCACTGGCACCTTATCTGCTGACTGCTGGTCTTGCTCCTGCTGGATGATTTTCATGTATTTCTCTAAAGGGTTTTCACTGTGAGCAGATTTGTCTTTCATTTCTTGATTACTCATTTCTAATTCATTTTCCATTTCTAATTCATTTTCTATTTCAATCTTCAGTGATTCTTCAATCATCCTCTATAAAATAGGCACCAAAACAGAAAATACACAAATATATTTGTGAAACTTTATGTATTTTAAAAATGCACTAATATTAATCCCAATCCTTGAAGTACAGCCTGTGTGCCAGAGGACTAATTTTTAAAATTGAAGTCATTGCTATCATCAAAGGAAGACAAATATGTCATCTCAAGGAAGGTATTAATCGGCAAGTGTCCTGTGCTTTAGACTTGAATTAACCAGAAGTCCAAGGAACATTCATATATTAGAGTAATTAAAGCAAGACTTAGCAGGCATGTTAAGTGGACAGAGTAATCCATCTGCTAGGACCAGAATCGGGACACAGAAGGCAAGAAGAGAACTAGAGGAAGGAGGAAGGGAATGTGTGCCCCTGGAGGCAACCATGGACTGGCAGCCATCTCCTCCCTTGGGTTCTAGTCCCAGCTAGCTGACACTGACAGCCTCTTCTTTAAACCCTGTTTTCAAAGCAAAGTTCTGCAGCAAAGCACAGTCTACCTTTTTTACAGGCTTGTTTTAAGGATCAGATGAGAATGTACAAAAATTACCTTCAAAAACCATCCTTTACTACAAAACTCCTAAGCTGCACATTCTGTGCAGCCTTTCTCACCGTCTGTAAGACCAGGAGAGGACAGGGATGCCTTTTAAGGCACCTGCCGTTCCTCTGACTTTGTACACCAATTGACTCCCCTCCCTGAGCTCAATGTACTTACGAAAGGTGTACAACGGAGCAACCAGTACAGAAAATCAAGTCATACTTATTACCCTTTCCTGATACAGTTTTTCTAGTTCTCTTCGTTCCCTTTCTAAAACTTCTTGTAGATTACTCTGCCTTCTTTCTTCTCTCTGCCTTCGTTCTTTCACTTGCTGTTCCCGTATTTTTTCTTCTTCCTTTTGTTCTTCAATTTGTTTCTGATCTACACCTAATAGGACAGAAAATAAAGAGTAGCTTCCAGTATCAGACTGTTCAAATGAATGCAGGACCAGTCTGCAGAAGCCCTTGCCAAGACCCACGGAGACTCTGCTTGGCTTTTAGTTGACTCTGTGACCTGCTTCAAGTCACTGTTTCATTTTCACTCACTTCAAGCCCCCAACCCCACTCCTTGAACTGCACCCTACTTCACTTGGCTAAGACAAATAACAAGTCATCCTCACCATGACCAACTCCAATTGTCCTCCCTCCATGTCACATGCTCTCATCCTCTTCACAGATCTCCTCCCTCCTTTCCAAGGCAAACCCTGCATTTCTGCCTCTGCCTTTGATTGTAATCCCTCCCCTATCTTTAGGACCCTGACTGAGCCATTAATCCCTATTTCTGTACACAGTAGTTTTAGAAGTCTTACTCCCATAAAGATGCTCAAGTCTGTCCTACCCCAACAAAACAGAACAGAAATCACACCACTGCCCCCCCTCCCCGGCCATTCCAGCCATCTCACTGCTCATTCCCCACTTCCTCCAAACTGACGGCAGCCCTTCCTTGGGTTTTAGCGATCACTTGTATATGGATCCTTTCCATATCTTTTCCTCTACTCCTGATCTCTCTCCCTAGCCTCACGTCCACATTTCTGATAGTTCCCTGTCATCCGCATGTGGAAACCCCACAGCACCAGCTTTGTCCTGAGCGTGATCGTCCCAGTCCTTCGATCATGCTCTTTCTACCCTCCAACCACTCAGCCACCAGCGCTTGCAGGTTCACACTCCCTGTCCTGTGGCTGCAACAGGGGCCCTTCTCACCATCTTCCTGGACTACTGAAACAGCCCAGTCAAGGCTCTCCCTGAAGCCGGTCTCTGCCTTCCAACAACCTGTGGTCATCTGCACCAGTCATTTCCTGACAGGAAGATGTGGATCTGCTGTGTGTGCAGCATCTCCACTCTGATAGAGTCCAATGTCATGGTAGTCCAGGCTCTGACAATCTGCCCTTTTCTTTCCAGACTGATTTCCTACATCACCACCAACTTTGTACTAGAAATATTTCATCTGTACCAACCCACTCACTGGGGCCTGGCCATGGCTGTATCTTCCTTGCTCAGCATTCACCTTCACTGTCTCCTCAGTCTGTAGCACTCCCTTGCTCTCACAAAGTCTGAAATGCTGTTCAAGACCCAACTGAAATGCCACCTCCTCCTTATTCCTGAAGTGACAAGTAACCACTCCAGCATCTTACTTGCAGGGTATCTTGTACCTGCTTTGTCAAAAACTACACATATTTGTTTCTTCCACTTCTATTCCTTCCAGGCAAGGCCCATATTTTAATTACTTGTCTGTTCTCTCTGCATCTTGGTACAGGTCCCTACATCTCAAAAGTTTAATTAGACCCCAATCCCAGAGACAATTATGCTGACCTTTCTCTTCTGGCTCTGACCCATAACCTACATTTTTTTTTTTAACCCAAGCAATGCTAATAAGCAGAAAAATTCATAGGTTCAGCAGAGGACTTTGAACCTTTTTGCTGTGCCTTGTTCTAAAGCGATCAGCAGGAACTGAGTTTTACCAATAGGAGAGAAGCAACACAGTTTCTTCTCTCTCTCCCCACATCTCTTCTGAATCCTTCTCATGAAATTAAAATACCAGAGGAGATAGTTGATCATTTCCACAGGCAGAAATGCAACTTCCTCCTTGCTAGAAGAAGAAAAAATGGTTACTCCTAAACAAGATCGCTCTCTTATATGGAATAGTAATCTCAAAATAGGAATGTTGTTTAAGCACCAATTACAAAATAAAGAGGAAGAGTGAGCTGCTTCTCTGCTCTGGTGTATATTTGGTAGTTGCACGGTAGTATACAGAAACCTCTTGGACACAAGGGGAAAGAAAGGAAGTATGTCCACGGGGCACCTCTGAGACACCAGATTTCAGACTTTTTGAATTCCCTTTGTGCCCAGATGAAGAGGTGAAATGACAAATATAACAATTTCTCAATAACCAAAATGTCACTCACCATGCTGCTTAATAATTTTTAAAGCCAATATTATAATCTATGTTGCATCTCAGTGGCAGAACACCTAGTTACTCAGCTGATTTCCCTTATCCTATCACATTATTTGTATTCCCTCGCTCAGGTCTGTGCCAAATGGGTGCCTGTAGACACTCCCTCTTGTGGCCGCGGCCCCTACTCCCTCCCTCCCTGCTGCGGTCCTGGGTGATGGCCTGCTGACTATCTGCCTCCCCTACTAGAAATCCAGGAAGGTGAGGGCTTGAGCTACAGGCTCAGCCCTGAGCAAAGTGCCCAGCAGAGAGAAGGCTCTAGATCAAGTCTCACTGAACACTTTCCAAAGCAGATTTACTCTGGAATCAGCAAAATCAACCCTCTCAAAATCTCTTGCCTCTTTCAGTAATTTTATACGTTCCTGAGTACCATGACTAAAACCAAGAAACTGCTAACGGGTTTTGGGTATGTTTTGGGTATGATGTTTTTCCAATGTTTGGGAGGGACTAAGAGGTGGCTTTACTTGAGAAAATTCCTTTCAGCTTTGAGGATTAAACACTTGGTCCAAGAAGAAAAGGACCTGGCTGTTGGCTGAGCCCTGGAACAAAGCACAAAGCTCCCACGGCTCTCTTGCCATCTCCCTTCACCCCCAGTGAGGGAAGTAGGTAATCTGGAGAAGAGGAAAGAGGAAGTGGGCCAGACAAGAGAAGTCTGATGGCCAGTTTTCCTCTAGTGCTAAGCTAACTTGGTGTCATAGCTTTTCCGAAGATTGAAATACAAAGTTTTTCTGTCCTAATTTCTTATGACACAAAGGAAACAAGTAGATAGAAAAATAAATAATATTTAAATGTTACAATCACATTAAAGATATATGATAGGAGTTAATTATTACTTCAATTTTTCACGGTGATTTCCCAAAATGATAAGGTCCCCATGGAACAGTTTTTGTAGAAGAGTCTTGGGGAAAAGTCCAACTACTATTCCAGGCACTGAAGAGTTAATGAAAACACTTTTTAAGCAACTGGCCTGAGAAGCTAAATGAGAAGCCTTTTCTTCCAACGTGTCCTTTCCTCAGCACTGTCTTTACATGTTCACGTGGGAATTACTTCAGAAACGTTGTTAACAATATAATGCCACTATAACTCCCCAACCCAAGATTTTGACTAATTTACACCTACAAGAAGACTTCAGTGATACATGAAATAATTCACAGAGCACACAGACTGGTATTTAGTATGCGACCCTGCTGACTGTTAGTTCAAAAAAAGAACTTACTTGGGTGCTGATATGAGAGGGGCACAGCAGCTGCAGCAGCATCCACATGAGGCATATCCCCAGCAGGAAAGAGCCCATCCATTTCCAACTGCCTTGGCCCGTTCCCTGCAGCTGCATGAGGCACAAACAATTATCCCATGAGTCCTTAATAATAACACCAAGACAAAGAAGGGCAGTGCAGTATGGGGGCAACTGACTGGAGAACGGGAACTGAAGCCAAAGTAACTGGGTGCGCCCTTTCCTAACAGGATTCCATGAAGTTCCCAACATAACCACTTGCCAACGTATTTGCTTGTCAGAGTGTTTTTGTACTTGAAAGAATTAACTTTGTTTACAAAATTAGATTCGTTACCCAACAGGAAAATCAACCCAGTGACAGTGAAGAATTCAATTGGCTTGCTGATAATCATTTGAATTCCATTAAACTATCAATGATTTAACACAAAGACTTTAACAAATATTCACAAAATTTACCAAGCCCTCTCATTTAACTGTTCAAAATATTACATTTTCAGATTTGAAGATGAAGTTTACAAGGCTAACCAACAGCTTATATACAAATATAAAGAAAGAACCTTAGAGATGATAGGCTCTACATGCTTACTTTACACTTACCAAGTGGCTACAAAGTGAGACAGTCTAAGGCAGAGCCATAGCCAGGAAACGAGTTTCTGGACTCTTAATATTCTTTTATCTCCATTCTTTTACTAAAAATGAGGTTTTGTAAATCTGAGGCAATCAACAGAATCAGTAAATTTAGAAAATAACATCCTTACACCAGGCACGGTGGCTCATGCCTGTAATCCCAGCACTTTGGGAGGCTGAGGCGGGCGGATCACTTGAGGTCAGGAGCTCAAGAGCAGCCTGGCCGATATGGTGAAACCTCATCTCTACTAAAAATACAAAACAACTAGCTGGGTGTGGTGGTGTGTGCCTGCGGTCCCAGCTACTCGGGAGGCTGAGGTAGATGAATCGCTTGGACCTGGGAGGAGGAGGGAGGTTGCAGTGAGCCAAGGTCGGACTACTGTACTCCAGCCTGGGCAACACAGACAGACTCCATCTCAAAAAAAATATAAATAAACATTGTTGTATTCTATAAAAAGGTAAAAATAAATTAAGAAAAATCACTTATTTAAAATCTGATAATTATTTAAAATCTGATGTTAATAGTTCATTTATAAGCTAAAAAATTAGCTCAAACTCTGAAATTATTAGTCATACTGAAATTTTTAAAAAGTAAACAGACACATGCATGAAAATCTTCATGAGAGAAAAATGAGGTGATACATCTGTACTTGTGGTTGTATCACAAAATAATAATGACCCAATTTGTAACTGCTTTTCTTTTTAAACCAATGGGTAAGTTTCACCAAAACTAAGCTTTCTAGATTTTCAACTTATAAAAACTGATACTTATATTTGAACTTACATTCAAAAGATGATTCAAATTCCTCATTATCCTTAAAAGCTAGCTTGTCCACATCTGAAAATTCACTTTTGTCCTGAAGTTCAGTTTGTCTTTGATAAAGGCTAGATTGGAAGGATAAAATTCATGAATGTGAAGTTTTAATAATGGAAAACCAAAGAGCACAAGGTGACAAAAAGCCTTTTGTGACTCAAGAAAAGGCTCTACAAAATTCCTTTTCTCTTTGTCTTGTAAAGAATAGCTCCACCTCACCACCACCACTAGGCATTGTTCTCAGCAATTAATACCTGTTTACTCAGTTACTCCTTGTAACTATTTCATGCTGTGAAGTAGATACTACAGTTGTTAATAAAGAATAATGTTGTACTCTGAATGCTATTCCTAGGAAATAACCATAAAACATTTCTGAAAAAAAATTCTGCATACCATCAGCATGAACCAGCTGAAGATGCAATACCACAACCTTGAATGAGCAAAGTGCCCTAATTCAGCATGTGTGTGTCTTATCCTTTTGGCTTATCACAAAAAAAAAAAAAAAAAAAAAAAAAGCTTTAGGACCATGACAGGCCCATGTGGCAGAGAACTACATTAACATGCAGATGCCCAGGCTGGAGCCCAGAACTAAGGAGTCAGTTCTCTCTGCTGTGGGGCCCAGGTATGGGTAGGAGTCTGCTCATCACTCAAATCACAGCCTGGCTGACCCAGTGGCCTGTTTCTAAAAACATCCACTCCTTCCTGTTTCAACAATCATACTCTACTCCAGAGCCCACTACCACATTTGCATTTATTTCAATGATATGCAGGTCAGAACCTTATCTGTTTATATTTCAATGCCAAAATATTTTTAAATGACTTTTTAATGATGTGTAAAATTGTTCCAACTTTAGAAATAACCTCCATTTGTTTGCTTCCAGATTTTGTACATTTGTTTTTTATCTTAATAAACCAAGTCTATTCACAGAACCAGGAAGATGCTTATTTACACCAGATTGCATGGTCCATATATCAAGTTTAGCAAATAAGCATTATTCACTTATTTGCTAAAAACAATCTTTTTCCCCTCCAGGTAATTTAGATGATTCTCAAAAATGACACATCATTTTGCAATCTGATTGCAAATTCTATACTGCCACATGATCTATAATAATTATCTCCAAAAAAAAAAAATCCCAGTAAAAAAAGTGAAGGCTGATACAGCAAATAACATGATTCAGCTGAAGCTAATCAATCAGAACATTATACTTACCCCACTTTCTGCTCCGTAGGGCTGGAGACGGGAGGGATGGAGAGGCTGTGCCTAGACTCAGTGGGTGATGGTAGGGGCATTCTGTCAGGACAAGGACTGGGGGAAACAACGTGTGATCTGCTCAGACCTAAGGTGCAGAAAGAACCAAGGAAAGAATATTATCAATTGCATGGAGAAGATACCAACGTGGTTTCTAAAGAGCTCTATTAGTTTGAAAATAAACTGTTATCCTCACAAAAAGCCAACTATGATGCATAAGATCCACAAAACTAATGATTCAAGCACTAAATTAAATTGCAGTGGCAATAATAAAATGCATGAAACCAACAGGCAGCAAAGGAAAGGCGACTATCACTCTCTAAACAGTTCTGTGTGCCAAGCAAACACCAGACCTTGCCACTCTGGCCCGGTGACCCTCACAGCAACCCGTGTCGTGGGCAGGGTGGCTACCCAACTCCAGAGCACCCCACAACCCTTTGTGCGGGTGGCTTACCTTCTAGATACATTTCACTTTCGAGGCTTCTTTTTGCTTTTGGAAGGGGTGTGGAAGAGAGGCGTCTGGAGGAAGTGCCCCCGTGGAGCCTCGAGGCTGCACTGCCTGTCAGTGCTTCCAAGACGTCATTCCTTTCTTCTTTAAGTGTGCCCACTTGAGGCTGCTCACAGACAACTCTGTCCTCTCCAAAGATATGTCTTTCCGGGGAACTCGAAGTAATGTTTTTGAAGGCTTCCAGCAAGTGCAGAGATGGTGGGCTCTTTGCTGCTAGTGGGCTTTTGGCAGAGTTTTTAATGACTCTCCGATGGTAACTTCTGAAAGCCTTTTCCAAGCGTTCAGCCTCTTGCTGAAGCTCTTTGACCCTTGCCTTAGTATTGGCTACAAACTCAAGGTCAGAATCAGGGGAACTACCCTCCACCCATGCATTTGGATAATTTGTGATCCTTGATGCAACCATACGTGCTAGAACTTTTTCATGTTTAAAAGGACTGTTCAAGAAATCCCCACTTATCTCATCATTGAGAGGCACCATGTTGCCATTTATTAATCCATTGACAGAACGATCGATCACAGACTGCTTTGGATTGCAGTACACTTCATTCTCTAGGGCTGCAGGGTACAAAAAGCAAATTTCAGAAGTGAGTGAACAAGGCAGAGAAGAAAATATACTCGAGAATATTATTTTTTTGAAAAATGGAAGAAAGTAATAAGGACAAACTTGCACGTTAAAGTTTCTGAAGCCATGGTAATGATAACCACTAACATTTATTGAGAGCTTATTATACCACCTACAGCTTCATATGTCTTTTGTAACATGATATAATTTCAGAATCCATTATGCACAATTTTGAAATCCACAAGGCTCTGAGAATTGAAAATTTATTCATAATTTATTTGGTGGCAAAGCCTAACCAGACTTGAACTCACTTGGCTGAAAAGTTTGACCTGAACTGATGTAAACCCATTTATAATCTTTATTTATCCCAGCATGACTATTCATACAGTTGACTGCAAAATAATTAATGTGTTTTACTATAGGATGCTGTTCAGAACTCCCAGGGCTAGTGCGAAATCCACAGCATATGGCCTGAGTTTCATATAAGGAAGTGAGGACCTGCATTCACAACAACACTGTGGTCAAGGAACTCTCACTGTTCCGATTTTACAGATGGGGGAACTAAAGCTTACTGAGGCTGGGTCACACGGTTAGCAGGTCTAAGAGCTACTGGGCTTTCCTAATGCAAAGCCAGTGCGTGTGCCCCACTCTCCTGCAATGCCTCCCTGTGATGCTACAAGAAAAAAGTTTGCCCTCGGCAACACATGCATGCGAAAGGGTTCTATCCTCATTCAACTATTTTTTATTGATAGGAGACTGCTATGACTTCAGCTGTGAGAAGTTTTGCAAACAGAATTGAAAGAAAATGAGGAACAGAAAAAAGTAGAAATGAGTAGAGATAAAAATAAAACAAGTGCTGGTAGAAGAGAGCAAGGAGCTGATAAGGAAAGAATGCAGGTGGGAATGAGGAAGGCTCAGACCTAGTTGAACTGGTAACACGTACGTACTTTCTTTGAGCTTGAAAGCAACTGAAGAAGAAAGTATCTAAACTTCAATATTCTTCTTACGAAGTAGGAAGGGGCAGAGATGCATCCACAGTGAAGACACAATAATAAAATGATACCAATAACCATTTCCTGAGTGTCTTTTATGTCCCAGGTACTGGACTGAAACCCATTTCATTTCATCTTTTTCATCATGGCTCAGTAGGTATTATTATCCCCATTACAAATGAGGAGATAGAGGCCCAAGGAAGTTAAAGTAACATGCCCAAGGTCAAACAACTTCAAAACTGGGGTCCAAAAGAAGAACAGTTCTCTGATTCTGAGGGCAATGTTCTTTTTGCTAAGCCACCCTGCTTGTCCTGTATATTTATATATCTATCAAGGAATCCGTAAAACTACTGAATTGGTGTTAACATTGGGGTTACAAATAAAAAAGGAAATCCTAGAATGAATGTGGGGACTTCTATGTCACCACCATGCCTTTCCTATTGGGGCATGAGACTCTCCCAAGCCATGAGGCACCTATGAAGCAAATCACTTTTGCTGATGATCCAGATGGTATTACCAAAATGGATAGGGAGTTTTACTTCTAAGATGACACATATTTCTATGGCTTTTCCTCTAACACAATAATTAATATTCAATAAATTATGATCATTACATTTTCACAGACACCAGAAGCTTTATACACACAAAAATATTTATGGGTTAAAACGTCTCTAACCTGTCTGAGTTTGTTTCAGTTGCAATTTTAAATCGGCAACCTGAGTAGTTAACCTCTTTACAGAAGCTTTGTAACCCAGAATCTGGGCCTTCAGCTGTGCAGAATGCTCAATCTGAAAAGATTCAGAATAGGAAAAGAAATCCATGTAAAACAAATCACAGCTTGCTTCAAAAGGAAAAATTCTCTTATCATGTTTGTACTCTTTTTGTTCTGCCAATTTCAAGAAGCTTTATGACAGTAAACAAGAGGGTGCCTATTAAAAAAAAAACACAAGCAGAACAAACAAGTTTTTCACCATCTTTTTCAGTCTTATCAAAGAACTCTAGGGCATGCAGGCAGAAATCAGAAGACACAGTGAATGTTTGTAATACTTCTCAGGGTGAGAATCGAGAGATAACAGTGGGTACCATCAGGCACTCAGAAAATTTTATATTTAGGTGAGTTTGCTTTCTTCTCCATTTTATTACTACTACGAATATAAAGTCATATTATCACTGCAAAATTTTCTCAGATGAGAAAGGATACCTTTAGCATATTTGGGAGAGTAATGTTTGATGTTAAAATAAATCTGATTTACACTAGTATGACTTGTGCCAAGTTTACATATCTATGAAGTGTACTGGCATCACACTAGAACTGAAGAAGAGCAATACTCACTTCATCTTGCAGTTGTTTATGCAGAGCTTGCCTGCGGCTTTCGAACTCCTCATGCTCAACCACTATAGCCTTTTCAGCTTTCCGTAGTTCTTTCTGAAAGACTGCAAGTTCAGGAGCTGGCTGAGCTAGGCCTAACAAGGTAAAAAAAATCCTGGTCATTACCAACCTTAAGTTATTTCACTTAACAAAAACTGTTAAAGGGGTTTTAAAGTGTTCCTTTGCTTTGTACTCACGCAATAAATATGATAATAAGTCTATTAAATGAGCTCAGAGCAATCCTGACTCTCAAATTTCACAACAAAAGAATTTAGTGCATGTTAATGCAAACTTTATTACCCTTGGAGCCCTACTCCAAGTAAAAGAACTCTTTCAAATCCTCAAATTAACCTGAAAGCCTGTTTCTCTCCTCTACCATGCACAGAAGGAGCTCTCTCTCTGGTCTAACTGTTGATGACAGCCCTGGGATCCAATATGATCTGGGCATCTGACAGCAGCAGTTGGGATCCAAGCAGAAGGCAGATGGCTGTCACAGTCAAGGTCATCTAAGAACCCTTTAATAAAGGTTGACTTATTCAGGGTATGCACAAAGGATGGTGGAGTTCCCTGGGCTAGTAACAGAGCCACACTGTTAGCGCTCCTTGGGCCTTGAGAATCAGGGGAGGGAGAAATTCTCAGCACTGGAGAGAGGGAGGTGGTGCAGAGCACCCGGAAGAGGTCATCACAGGCACTATGACCTCACTTGGCCATGAGGCAGTGGCCAGCCTAGAGCTACTGTATGTAGAGGCTGGTGTCCCCACTGGCCACCAGTGAGAGGGCAAGGGAAGCCTTGATACCACCTAAAGCAGGTTTGCAGAGTTTAATCCAAGAATCTTAATTTTATAAATTTAATTTAATCCAAGAATTAAATTTGTAAAATTTAATCCAAGAATATAAATGTAATCCAAGAATCTTAATTTTATAAATCTTCCCAATTTAAGCCCCCCCTACCTTATACAAGTACAAAGCATAGTTTTATAATACTGACCTAATACAAGTTACTAAAACATGCAAGTCAGAAAAAAAGAAAAATACATACGGTTTAGGAGATGCAAGTTTTCATTTCTACTCTCTTCCAGTTGTTGTTTAAGTAATTTATTTTGTGCCAGAAGCTCCAGTTTCTCTTCTTTTAGTAGTGAATAATCACTCATCTCTTTAACCTTTTCATTCAGCATATGGTTTTGTTTTGTTATTGCCAAAGACTGTGCTTTGACAGACTCTAATTCAAGCTAAAATTCAAAAAGGAAAATTTACATTTGAATAATGACTTTACAGTACTGCAAAAGTAAAAGCTGGCAGGCTCCTTTAAGCATGGTGTCACAATTTAATTAAGGTCACTGGACAGAAGTCTGACTCTCTGCAGTAAGACTCTAACTACAATAACGAAAATTATCTTCTGCCCTACAGTTGAGGCAGAAGTTTTATAGGTCACCATCCCATGAAGCAAGTCCTTCTAAGATGATCATCCCATTTTCAAGAGGCAACCAAGAACCCAACAACAATTACCCATCATAGGAATATATATTTTTTAAATATGAAAAGGTAAGATAAAAATGGCTGGGCATGGTGGTTCACGCCTGTAATCGTAGCACTTTGGGAGGCTGAGGCAAGAGGATTGCTTGAGCTCAGGAGACCACCCTGGGCAACATGGCGAAACCCCATCTCTACTAAAAATACAAAAATTAGCTGGGCGTGGTGGCACATGGCTGTAATCCCAGCTACTCAGGAGGCTGAGACATGAGAATCACTTGAACCTGGGAGGTGGAAGTTGGTTGCAGTGAGCCAAGATCACACCACTGCACTCCAGCCTGGGCGAAAGAACAAGACTCTGTCTAGAAAGAAAGAAAGATTCTGTAACATGTTGTGAAGTGCTTCCCTTTTCTTAGTATAATATATACCATATTTGAGTACAAAAGCCTACAAAGTTCTCACATAAGTCAAAGTTGCTAAAATAAATTTTATATACAAAATATGTTGTAAGTACCTAAAGTTCCAGCTTCATCCTTCAGACAGCAAGCACATGAATGAATAGAAAAGTAAAGAAGCAATGATATGTGAAAAATGCACCTCATTTTGTTTTAATCTGTAAGATAACAATGTAATGACAGGAATTTCTTTACCTGCTGCTGATGGAAGGAGAGAACAGGCTGATGTAGAAACTAACAGTAATGGCCACCCGCTATGAACTAGGCACGTAAGTTAGCTTACTGAATTCCCTCAACAACCCTATAATGTGGAAAACATCTTAGTTTACAGCTCAGGAACCTGCAGTCACAGAACTTCCCTAGTGACACACAATCAGTTAGAGACACAGACAGGATTTAAGCAGGACTCCAGGACCCAAAGCTCTATCTACGCTTTCCTATGTGACATTGATTGAAATTAAGAACTGTTGAATTAACTTCAGCCATCACCTTCTTAGCCATATAAATGGCAGTCGAAACACCTCAAGAGGATGACTTAGGATAAATTATGTATGACTAAAATTTCATATATTGCTTAAAATCTATTTCAAAAACCAATATGCTTAACAATTACCTCAAGTTCTTTCACACGATTTACAGATTGATTGAGTTCCTCCTTTTTTGAATTAATAGCTGTGAGCTCCTCTTGCAAATGAACAGCTTTTTCTGAAAAAAGAGCCCACCAATTAAACACCATAATGTTTTCCTAGTGAATACAAAAGCCATTTAATATTTATGGCCAGTATGTCAGACCTAATGACCACTATTTCACAATCCAAATAGCAGAGGTAGGGGGCAAGTAAGAAATAAACCCTATTACCCAACAGATGATGTGAAGCTATAACTGTCATGTATGTGGTGAAATTCCACTTGCTACACATGCTAACCAGAGTTATACCATCTGCTCAAAGCACAGAGCCCTAATACCCACAGCTCTTAACTTCCTTGAAGACAAAGATCTGTCTGTTACTATATTGTAGTTAGTATTTTGTAGTTTTCACTTCATCTAACACAAGTCTATGTAGGTATATCATCAAACCATAATTTGTTATATACATAATGGTACCAATCCATAAAAGAAGTATTAGTCTCCACAAGATAGTAAAAGAGGCTGGGCACAATGGCTCATGCCTGTAATACCAGCACTTTGGGAGACCAAGGCAGGCGGATCACCTGAGGTCAGGAGTTCGAGACCAGCCTGGCCAACATGGTGAAACTCTGTCTCTACAAAATTTAGCAGGGCATGGTGGCGCACACCTGTAGTCCCAGCTACTTGGGAGGCTGAGGCACAAGAATCACTTGAACCCAGGAGGCGGAGGCTGCAGTGAGCCGAGATTGTGCCACTGTACTCCAGCCTGGGCAACAGAGCAAGACTCCATCTCTAAAACAAAAAAAAAGACAGTAGCCACACATCGGGTATCTGGGTCAACATCAACTACCCAACCCTGGTTTACTCCAAAGAATCTACTTGAAATTTCCACCAAAACTTCAACTTCTTGTTGCAGCAATTTCCTAGAAATACGTTGAAATGTAAAACATCTGAAGATTGAAAAATTATTCAACTTCCATAGTCTCAGGCCAACGTACACAAGAGTTCAGAAGGTTATACATCAAGTAAAAATGCCGTAAAGCATAAAAATACATTAGAAGCAAAAGAAAGAAGAAACTAGGTCACAGGGGACAGAGAAGTTGAAGTTTTCCGTAAGTGAAAAATAAAGTCTCTCATGGTTAGGAGTAATACGTACTTGATGGCAGTAAGTTGCTGCTACTTTCCTGACAATTGCAGATTTATCAAAATATATGAAATAAAGTTGGATAAAATATTCATGATAAATCACTGGCCTTTGTGAATATACAAATTATTAAACATGAAGGTTTCTCAAAAGGCAGTGAAGACAATTTTTTTTTTAATTTATAAAATTAAAATTACAAAAATGTAATTTTGTAGAAACAATGAAGTGTAAGCTATATTTTTTAGAATATGGAACAGGCCCAACTTGGGAAGCTAATAACCTACAGCAGAACTGAAAAATACAGCTTATTTCCCCACTACACATCACCTTTATTCTTCCTTTCATCTTCAATCAGTCGATTAGTTCTAATGATGTAGTCATCCTTCAGTTCAAGTTGATACCTGAGAATCAGAATGACTAAATATGAGCTCCTCAGTCATTTTTCTGGAAAGACTGTTATCAGTGCAGGAACTTATCTATGGCACAGGAGCACCTGAGGGCGCTGAACATGACAATGTGTAAACTTCAAAGTCCTCAATACTAAAGCCAGGGATATGACCTCTGAACATAAAATGCCCAGTAAAACCCTTCCTCGATCCTATAAACTGGGTCCCAAAACTCAATCACACAAGATGAAGGGTCGTATTATCATAAGGTTATTTACTGAAAACAATCACTTTTCAGTTGGTCTCAACTGACACAAACAGCAAAGGGGTAAATTAAATTTACACAGCACACAACAGACTCAATCCCAAATGATAATCAGACAGTCACTTCCAATCCACCTGTACCATCTGCCCACCCCCAACCAAGGTAAGAACTTTTGTGCTCAGGGACTAAGCGCAGTCCTGAGAGCCAACCGCCAAGGGCATTATAGCCGGATTAGCAATACCAAAAGGCACATTTTCACCGTTTCACTTCCCTTTCCCAGCTGTTACCATCTGCCCTTTTGGTTCCAAAAGGAAATAGAAGCACTCCTGTGGTGAAGAGCCTCCAAACTCCAACACCTGCCAAAGTCATATGAGGATTCCCAAAGCCAGACAAACACCATGCAGCCTGTGGAAGCTGTCACAATGATACCAAACAGTTCACTAGCTCCCTAACTATGTAAAATTAACACACATACTTTAATTCATTTATTCCTAAAAATTCAGCAACTACAGACACTTCCATTTTAGCTATTTTAGTATAGAAACTGACATAGAAGGTGTGGGTAAAATACATCATTTCAAAATCAATAGATAAAAAAGCTGCCATATTTTTAAAAAATAGAATTTGTTTAAAGGATAACCTCAAGAAACCTTTGCAATACTATGTAATGGAATATCAATGACAAATTGAGGAAGGGAATAAAAGAGGCCAAATAAGAAATGCCCAGACCACCTGAGCTGAATCATTTCCTCGCGACACATTTACAGTAAATATTAACTAAGCACTTTTTATGTGCCACATGCTTTCCCACACACTGAAGAGAAATGTTACCACATGGGCATAATATCGTAGCACTGAGATGTTATTCACTGATACACAAAACTCAGACTACAGAAAAGCCAAAATAACCATAGTTGTCCATATTTTCCTTTCTCTGTATCACTTTTTGCCTCACATAGTTAATTTTAGCTCTTTTGATTCTGGCTTTGCTGAATCTTGAAGAAATACGAGGCACATGTTCACTGACAAATACTACGACCATTAGTGTAATTTATATATGGTTAGATACCCCCATCCTTGGGGCTGTATGAGTGAGGCAGAGAAAAAGATAATTAAAAGTGGTTATAATTCCAATTTTACAGCTTATCAACTATGCAAGCTGAGCAAGTCACAAGGTGTACTGAAAATTAAAGCAAATCACAGCCCGCAATAAATGCTAGAGAAGCCATAAGAAGCACAGAGGATGTGCATCTCTATACATTTTTTTTTTTTTTTTTTTTTTGAGATGGATTCTTGCTGTTACCCAGGCTAGTACAGTGCAGTAGCACAATTTCAGCTCACTGCAACCTCTGCCTTCTGGGTTCAAGTGAATCCCCAGTAGCTGGGATTACAAGCACTCACCACCACACCCGGCTAATTTTTGTGTTTTTAGTAGAGATGGGGTTTCACCATGTTGGCCAGGCTGGTCTTGAACTCCTGACCTCAGGTGATCCGCCCACCTCAGCCTCCCAGAGTGCTGGGATTACAGGCGTGAGCCACCACACCTGGCTCTTATATTTTAAAAACTATCCTAACTTAAATGCAGGAAAGGATTGACTGTATTGATAAAACTATGTATTTTTTTTCCAAACACTAAAGTTTGCCTAAGTTACAGACTACTTCGTCAGTTTTTGTTTCTACCAACTTAATTTAAACATATCAGTTATTTAAAAATGCTTAACAATTACTTTAGAAGTTCATTCTTGAGCTTTCGGTCATAGGTCTCCTCAAAATTCTTTATATTCTGCTCCCGTCTCCTAAGTGCCTCAGTTATGCTTTTATGTTTTTCTTCCTGGAGCTTCTGGTTCCTGAAATTAGCAAAAATATAAAAAGTAAATAAACTACCATAGCGGAGCTAACAAATTTAGGAAAAAAATCACATGTGTCTAGTTCAACAGACTAAAACTGCTACATGATATCACTATTGGGAAGTAGAAAGAAAGAGCCAGAAGTCCTCAGTGTATTTTATGAACTGACCTAGTTACAGCGTATTGAAACTAGCAGAACTGACTATGGCTTTGGGCTGAGGGGAGTGGGAGAGTCTCAAGAGGGAAGTGGTTTCTCACAGAAGATAAACACTTAAACAATGGTTATAGGTGATACACGGCCAAAATCAATCCTGGGATGAGAGAATATTATTAGTTACAAAGTAACAAGTAAGTGTACTTACGTGCTTGAATCTTCTATAATACTGTTTCTAACTGTGGGATTTAATTAATTAGTCCATATATATTCAAGATAGAATATTTGTTTTTGTCATTTAATGACCAATCAGCTTTAGCCAAGTGTGGTGGCCCGCACCTATAATCCCAGTTTTTCAGAAGGCGAGGCAGGAGGATCACTTGATCCCAAGTGTTTGAGACCAGCCTGGGCAATACAGACAGACCGAGTGTCTTAAAAACAAAACAAAACAAACAAAAAAACCTATTGATTGAATACTGAAAAAAGTACCAAAAGAGAGGGCAAAAGATAGATGGATCAATCAGGGCTTCCAAATACTGAAGAATAGAATGGTCTTCATAGTGAGACTTTAAATCAACCATAGTACCAACTCCTTAGCCAGCCAGGGAGGTAGGTTCGCAGGTAGTGAGATCCAGTCATCCTGAGAAGTGCTACAAAATGCTGACTAGTCCAAGAACAGGTAAAGGCTCTAGGTATTAGCTCCCTCTGCTGGTAACCTGGAAAGTCGTGGAGAGGTAAACTACATTTATTTAGTTTATACGCTAAGAAGGAGGGAACAAGAGTAGAGAAAATGGAGGTAAAGGTATGATGAACTTTCTCTGCCCCAATTTTGTGCTTATTTCTCTGTCTTGATCAATCTGCCTTTTTATTATTGCCAAAAAGAGAGTAAGGTAGACAGAGAGTTGAAATTAAACAAATGAAGCCTATAGAAGTGAGAAAAAAACATTAATGAAGATGGAGACAAATTATTTAACGAACTAAGATTCCTGGAGTATCTATGGGTGTCAATAGCAGATTCCCAAAGGAAAAGAAGGCTTACTGCACAAACTATGGACAGGTGAGCTTGCTGCCAATCCCAGGTAAGATCTGAGGGATGAAACATTTGTGAGCACTCAGAAAAAGTGAATAACACAAAGAAATAGTTTCACCAAATACAAGTCAAGTCGGACCACCATACTTCCTTTTCTGAGCACACAGCTGGTAAAAACTGTAGGCCTGGATATATGGAATTCAGTTACTATACATACACACATGGAACTATCAGATCTGAGGGACTGAATGTAACTGCAAAACATACGATCTGTTCCAGTATTAACAGCTTCTCCAGATTATCTATCTGGTCTTACTGTAGCCTGATGATAGCATCTCATTGGTCTTTTCATCTTAATGTTTAATATTTCAAAAGCAAAACCCTAGTGTTTGTTCCTCTTAATTTGTACCTTCTAATGCTAGGTGATATCCCCTTCACAAACAAGAACTCTACTTGGCAATCAACATTAGAATATTTAGACATATATTTAATAATTCTTTTTAATCTCATCACTCTGAATATCCAAAATGAACATGCATTACTTACAATTCAAAAGCTTCAACTCTTTGCTTCAGCTCTGCTTCTCTTCCTCTTAGCAAATCCATATCTTTTAGTAAAAGCTGCCTTTGAGCATAAATTTCTTTTGTTTCAATCTGTATAGAAAAGCATTTTTAGCAAGCAAGCTAATGAAAGCAAAACAGATTTGAATGAATATACTGCTTCCTAAATTCCAAAAAGCAAAGTACAGACATTTAGGATAACAATTTCACCTTCAAGAGATTCCAACTCAAGGTATGCTTTTTGCTTATTCTAGCTGCATAAAAATTTACTCCCCCAATGACTGTTAAACTACCATTACCCTATAGTCCTAACATGCCATGTGTAATTTATGCTATTTAGTTCTTTAACATCTCTCAGTCCATTATCTAAAAAAAAAAAAAAATTTTTTTTTGAGACAGGGTCTCTGTTGCACAGGCTGGAGTGCAGTGGGGTGATCCTGGCTCACTGCAACCTCTGCCTCCCAAGCTCAAGGGTTCCTCCCACCTCAGCCTACTGAGTAGCTGCAGGAACTACAGGCACATACCACCAAGTCGGGCTGATGTTTTGTATTTTTGTAGAGATGGGGTTTTGCCATGCTGCCCAGGCTGGTCTTGAACTTCTGGGCTCAAGTGATATGCTTTGCCTTGGCCTCCCAAAGTGCTGGGACTACAAGCATGAGCCACCAAACCTGGAGCCCTTACCTAAATTTTGGCAGGTTCCGCAGAAGAAAAATTAAACAAAATGTACATTCAGCAACAAAACTCCAAAAGAATCGAACCCCCATAGTTTTTAGTGGTGGTGCTGTCTGAATGTTTCAGTTCATGGGTCATTCTGACTCAGAGTTAGCAAGCCCATATGAACTCCTAAAAGAACGGGCCATCCTTCCATTTGTGTGTTCACAGAGAAAGAATTTACTAACTACCCACGACATGTCAAGCAGCATACTGGAAACTGGATATAAAAAGGTAGACAGATACAGTCCTCATCTCTAAAGACCTCACAATTTAGTCAAGGAGTGAGAAACAATCACACTAAGATGTGATGATTTTGTAACTGAAGTACATAGAGAGTGATGCAGGAACAAGGCCTAAATGAGTCGCTCAGTGGGAGTCAGGGAAGGCATTACCCAGGTGACATCCAAGCTGGGTCTTGAAAGACAGTATGGTTTTGTCAGGGAAAGAAGGGGATGGACAGTCCAGGCGAGGGAATAAAGATATGGTGCTTTTTATGAGGATGACAATCTTCTTCAAAGCTTTCAGATAATCAGAGTTAAACAAACAGGGATCTAGTCAGTCACCTATCCTGAAGATGGAGTTATTAGTCTAAACACAATCTAATCATCTCAAAGATATGTGCTTCCAACATTCATTTTTATAGCTGAAGCAAGCCCAATTCCCAGAAATGCTATACAAAATTTTAGAGGGGGTGCCCTTAGCATTATACAACCAGGTCTTATTGAGAAGCCCCAAGCAAGAGTGGACACTAGGGGGAGGCATTCCTACTTTCAACATCTGACAGCAGTAGTTCTGGATGTATGTTGGAAATAGTGCGGTAAATCTAGTTTGGTCTAAGACACGCCCTTGGGAAAGGAATATGATCTTAAAGGAGTAGATCCAATCCCGCTTGCCAAAATGGACTCCCTCCCACTCTTCATCCTCTCCGTCTCCTGTCCAGTTACTTTCTGGGGTGACAAGATCAAATGGTTACATGGATGACCCTTGTGGCCCTGGTGACTCCTTTACCCCGGGGACCTTCATCCTTGCTCATTTCCATGGCTCTCTCCAATGGCAGCATACTGCATTTGGTTTCTAGTCTCCACCTGAAACCTCATCCTGCAATTCTATATTCTTGGACCATTCTTATTCTTTCAACTACTAGTCTCTCTAGATCGAGTCCTTGATCACTGCCACTGCCACTCAATCCTCCCTTTCCCCCAGAAGCCACCTGCCCTCTCCTCTGCTTCCCCCTTCACTACCCAAGAGAGCCCCAGAATCTTCAATTAAATAGGCTGCCTTTCTCTAGTCAAATAAATTAGGCTCTGAAAAGCTCCACTTCCAAAGCATCTCCATTTTTCCACCCTCACTGAAAAGGGCAGAAAGAGATACTTACAAATCCTCCCCAGAACTACAACAGAAAACTCACCTACAAGCACATGGGTTGATCTCTCTCAATTCCAGGCTCCCCCAACCACAGCTGAGCCCTCAATACAGGTGATCAGTCCTCTCTGCTTTAAAGGGCTGTTCTTCCCTTATCCACAGGAGCTACTCTGCACCTCCAATCTGCTCCTAAAACCCGAGATCTAACCCTCTAATCTGCCTGAGGAGATGGAGCTTATTTAGGGTATGTTTCTCATAATCCCAACTTGATTGTTCACCTCCACAGTTCTTCCCTTTCCACCAGTCTCAGAGGAAGCAAATTTGTCTATCCTTTTCAAGGCCCATCCTTCTGTTTGCACTCTTGGCCCCAGTCCCTATTGCTCTTCTGGGGCCTTGTTCCATCAATCGTACCATCCTGTTCCTGGATCTTGAGCCAACCTACTAATAGCTGCAGGAAATAGCCACACATAAAATATTTGTAAATACCACCTCTTGGTGCTTTTGAATTCTTTCAAGGGTACTCTTTTCCCGAAGAACGAGGGCTTCAGATTTTGCTTGACAGGCTTTCTCAAAATCATTCTGGAACATGGCTAATTCCTTCTCATACTTTTTTTTCGCTTCCATTTTAATTTTTGCTATCTCGGTATCTTTAAAAAACTTCAACTGCAAATTGATCACAAAAAATTAAAAATACCATTATACTATTAAAAAAAGGAACAAGTTCTCTCTTTACATCTAGGTTTAACATAATGCTCTGCCCAAATATATTTATTTCATCTTTAGTTTTATTTCATTCACTGTATTTGTGGGATTCACTCAACAGGCATAAACAAATGTCATCAGAAATAAAAAAATATGTGCACAACAGTATAGTATCCCATTCACTATTAAAAGTTCTAGATATTTTCCCATATACCTAAGGTTAAGACTTTAGAAGACAAGCAAAAACATCACTCTTATTAACGGTAACAAGATAAAGCTTACCTTTTGACACATTTCTGCCCGAAGTTGCTCTTCTATTTCTCTCTTATATTCATTTAGCTTTATTTCTAAAGATTCGAACTTGATACGCTGAGGGTAAGCATCTGCAAACTGATCATCAATAAGCTGAAGCTTCTCAGCTATTAAAAAATAACACATCAAATTAGGACATAGAAACATGGTCAGGTGTGTAAGATGCCAGACCTCTGGTTCAAAAGAGCATACTTAGGTGAAAGTGTAGGGATGTCTGCAACTTACTTTGAAATACAAAAAAAGGAAAGTAGATGAAAGGATGGACAGATAAAAATGATGAAGCGCGTATAATACAAGCGTAATAGTGGAATCTAGGTGGTGGATATACAAGTGTTCACTAAAATTGTATCAACTTTTCTGTATGTTTAAAAATGTTCATTATAAAATGTTAGAAGACAAAGAAAGCCAAGAGTACAGTTTAAGTCAGAAAACACTGGAGTCTTTTCCTACTCTCTAAGTGCTAAGACAGAGAGCTCTTTATTGGACTTCAGTTAAAGCTGACTTACACATTCAAAACAATAACTTTAAAAAGAATCAAAGATCATGTACATCAACGCCTCCCCTTTACAGATAAAGAACAAATGCCGATACAGCTTAGTAAGTGACTACATAACAGCATAACCAGGATTAAAGTGAGGTCTGCTGACTCTTTCTTCCCTTAGTCCACGGCCCTCAAACAAACTATGGATCAGAATCAACCACACAGCAAAGTGCAAATCTCAACCCACAGTACAATCTCAACCACGTATAACGCCCACCAAAAAAGTATGCACAGATCGAAAAAGGTTGGCAGAAGTAGATTAAAACACTGATAGTGTTTATCTCTGGTAGGGATGACTTTAGACATGTTTTTCCATCTACTTTTCTATATTTTCCAAATGCTGTCCAATACAGGACTCTCCAGCCACACGGGGCCATTGACACTTCAAATGTGACCAAATTGAACTGAGATGTGCTTTAAATGTAAAAAACACATGAGATTTCAAAGGCTTAGTGCAAAAACTAAATGTGAAATATCTCATTAGTATTTTTTATATTGAATACATGTTGAAATAATATTTTGGATGTATTGGGTTAATATTATTAAAACAAATTTCACCTGTTTCTTTTTACTTTTTTCAATGTGGCTGCCAGAAAATTTAAAATTACATATGTGGTTCACACCACTGAACAACACTGCTTGATAATTCGCAAGTAGTATGTTTCTAATTGAATTAAACCTACACTTGATGAAAGGCATAGTCATATAATACATTTTATGAATTATGAACTTATCTTCTTACAAGTTACTGTTACTATTTAAGAGTAAGGAAGGGCCAAGAAATCCATTAAGCATATCATTTTAAACAGCTGTTTCCCATCTCTACTGAGTACAAAACTGATGGACAGGATGGTATTGTAGACCAGCTGGATAGTACAAAAAGCTCTAGATCATGGACAGGAGAACTTGGACTCCACTATTAGTTCTGATGCAGCCTGAGTGTTTCCAAGTTGCTCTTCCTCTGAGGACCTCGGTTTCCTCAACTATAAAATGAAGTGATGAGCCAGTGACTTCTTTAGTTCATTGCAAACCAAGTAGTTTAATCTTCTAACTGGGTGGCTGTAAAGTTAGACAAGACACAAGGAAGAACCTCCCAGTTAAGAGAAGTCAAACTCAACAAGGAAGAATATGGGCCTTTGAATGCCTGCATGATTTGGCCAATGTAGCCCTGGCATTTATGAGGCTAGGGAATGACCCTGGAGAGCACTTCCTGGTCCCCCATGATGATTCCAGAAGAAATGAATTCCCTTGTTGCCTGCAGGTTGCATCCCTCCAGTTCAAGCAGCAATCACACAATATCATAAATCAGATAATTTCCTTCATTCAAAATGAAAACAGCAGAACTGAAATTAAGAAAGGCTGTAATTACCCAGAGAATCTCTGCTAAGTGTCGAACTTGTCTGAGTTTCCATATTGCAACTTTCTTTAGCTTGATGATATTCTGCCAATTCTTTTAAAAAATGCATAAGAAAACCTAAAAAACATAATGCATAAGTTTTGTTTCACAACTTTCAACCACTGCTCAGTCACTGTTTATACAATCTTAGTTTTATGACATTACTATTTTTTACATTATATATCTTTCCTTTTTTTAGAGACAAGAGTCTTGCTCTGTCACGCAGGCTGGAGTGCAGTGGTGTAATCCTGGCTCACTGCAGCCTCAACCTCCTGGGCTCAAGCAATCCTCCTACTTCAGCCTCCCAAGTAGCTGGGACTAGAGGCACACACCACCACCCACCATGCCCAGCTAATTTTACTTTTCGTATAAACAGAGTCTCACTATGTTGCCCAGGCTAGTCTCAAACTCATGCCCTCAAGCAATCCTCCTGCCTGGGCCTCCCAAAGTGCTGGGATCACAAGCATGAGCCACTGTGCCCAGTCATATCTTTCAATAAATTTGAGGAAAAGCCTTCCCAAGCCTGATGCAAAACCTGGAAGGAATAAGGAGAAATATTTATCAATCTAACTGCATAAAAAGTGAAAGCTTACATATGGCATAAAATAAAAATATAACATACTGGGAAAAATAGTTGCAATAATATGAAGGCATAACCAAGACTAAAGTGATGACATTTTCATAACATTGAAGAACTCTTACAAATCAGTTAAAAAAAAAAAAAAAACAGAAAAATAGGAAAAAACGTGGACAGTGCGTAGAAAAAAATAGTCAAACAAAGATGAACAAAATTTTTAGATGCTGAATAAACATGAACAAAATCATAAATGCAAATTAATACAATGGAGAAACCACTATTTTCCCTATAACACTGCTAAGATTAAAACTTGTATAATGCTAAGTGTTGGCAAGGGAGTGGATATATAGCTATGCTCATTCACTTGGGAGAGAAATTTGCCAGTGCTTATATATATTTGAAATGCATGTGCCCTTTAGTCATTCCACTTCTATGAATTTACACAGCTATACTTTTATAAGGGCACAAAGGGTGCACACTGCACAATGGTCTGCACATTGGTTACCTGTAATGGCAAAAAGCAAACAATAAAACAACCAAATCTCAATCAATAGGGGGTTAAATACATTCTTTAAAAATAATTAGTCTATACTGCTATAGAAAGATATACTGGTGGATTAAAAAAAGCAAATTGCATACAGTATCTATGATATAATCTTGATTGTGTTTTAATTACAAATACATAATTTTAACCTCAGTTTTAGAAGGATAAACAAGAAACTTAAATCTAGTTATCAGTGGAGTGAAACTGTTAATTCTAATTATCAGTGGAGCATGAGATTAGAGAACATGGGCAGAAACTGCTACTTTGCTTTCACTTTATATCCTTCTGAATAGTTTGAGACTTTGTTTTAAACCACACGCATAAATTACTTAAGAAATGTTTAGTTTCCTGGAACTAAAAACATTAGTTAGCTCAGCACCTTTTCCCCCACCCCCACCCCCACCTCCTTCAGGGAGGGGATCAGACTGTTTTGTCACTGTCTGCATTCCATCCTGGGATCACCTGAGGTAAATTTGCAAACATTAAGGTTCATTCTTGATGATGTAACGCTCTATGGGTTTTGACATTGGGTCTTTTCATTCTCTTAACAGTGTCTTTCGGCAGGGTGCAGTGACTCACACTTGTAATCCCAGCACTCTGGGAGGCTGAGGTGGGCGGATCACCTGAGGTCAAGGCATCAAGACCAGCCTGGTCAACATGATGAACCCCATCTCTATTAAAAACACAAAAAAATTAGCCAGACGTGATGGCAGGCATCTGTAGTCCCAGCTACTCAGGAGGCTGAGACAGGAGAATCACTCGAACCCAGGAGGCGGAGGCTGCAGTGAGCTGAGGTCGCACCACTGCCCTCCAGCCTGGGCGGCAGAGTGAAACTCAATCTCAAAAACAAAACAAAAAGAACAGTATCTTTCACAGAGATGTTTTTAATTTTAATAAAGTCTAACTGATCTACTTTTTTCTTTCATATATCTTGCTCTTGGTGTTACATCTCATCACGAAACCCAAGATCACACAGACTTTCTACTGTTCTCATCTGGAAGTTTTATAGTTTTGCATTTTACATTTAGGTCTATGGTTCATTTTGAGTTAGTTTTTGTGTAAACTATAAGATCTGTGTCTAGGTTCACTTTTGTGAATATGAATATCCAATTGTTACAGCACCACTTGTTGAAAAGACTATCTTTCCTCTATTGAACTGCCTTTGCATCTTTGTTAAAAAAAAATCAATTGACTATATTTGTGTGGATGTATTTCTGGACTTTCTAATTCTGTCCCCATTGATGTGTATGTCTATTCTTTTGCCAATTGCAGATAAGAATTTTAACTTCCAAAAAGCAAAGGGCCAATATCCAAATTTTCTTCCCTCTTCCAGATTTTGTGCACATCATTTTCTGGATATTGTCAGGCCTCTGAGTCAAAGCTCAGCCATTGTAATCCCCATGACCTGCACATATACGTCCAGATGGCCTGCAGGAGCCAGCCGAAAAACCACAGAAGAAGTGAAACAGCTCCTTCCTTAACTGATTGACCAACCTTACGACATTCCACCATTATTACTTGTTCCTGCCCTGCTCCAACTGATCAATCCACCTTGTGACATTCTTCTTCTGGACAATGAGTCCCATGATCTCTCCACCATGCACCTTGGGACCCCCTCCCCTGCTAACAATAGATAACCACCTTTAATTGTAACTTTCCACTGCCGACCCAAGCCCTATAAAGCTGCCCCTCTCCTATCTCCCTTCACTGACTCTCTTTTTGGACTCAGCACACTTGCACCCAACAAGGCTGTTTATTCACTTTATAAAGTTTATTCACTTTATAAACAGCCTTGTTGCTCACACAAAGCCTGTTTGGTGGTCTCTTCACACGGACGTGCATAACAGGTATCACTATCTCTGAAAGGAAAAATTAGGAGTGGGAAGAATGGGTGACTAGAATCTAGGAGAAAAGTACCACGGTCATTCAACAGCTTAGCATCCCCTGAGCATAGATATGGTAGGATAAGACCACAGGTCTCTGAGTCAGGGGACAGATAACAGTTAAGTACAAAATATCTTTCTCTTTCTACATGTTTTCTGTTGGTTAATTGGAAGACACCAATTTTTTAAAAAAAATTTTATCTTACCAGGAGCTATTTTATTGTTAGCTAAGCGTTCTATCCAAATTTTGGCACTAGGAAGCCTGACATATCTGCAACTCATAGTTTTTCTGGCTTCCAGAAATTTTACTGGGATGCTAGGTGAAGCTGGTAACGGCTGTCGGCCAGATGTCTTTCTGAACCAGATGCATTTAAAGAGACTGAAGAGACTGTGTAAAAACTTTTTTCTTTCTTTCTTTTTTTTTTTGAGACAGAGTCTTGCTCTGTTGCTAGGCTGGAGTGCAGTGGCGCGATCTCAGCTCATTGCAACCTCCGCCTCCCCAGGGTTCAAGCGATTCTCCTGCCTCAGCCTCCCAAATAGCTGGGACTACAGGTGAACGCCACCATGCCTGGCTAACTTTTGTATTTCAGTAGAGACAGGGTTTCACGATGTTGGCCAGGATGGCCTTGCTCTCCTGACCTCGTGATCTGCCCACCTCAGCCTCCCAAAGTGCTGGGATTACAGGCGTGAGCCACTGCGCCCAGCCATGGAAAAACTGTTTTTAAGGATAATGTATCTACATAGATTTTTTTTTTTCTTTTGAGATGTAGTCCAGCTCTGTCACCCAGACTGGAGTGTGGTGGCGCTATCTTGGCTCACTGCAACCTTTACCTCTCCGGTTCAAGCGATTCGTCTGCCTCAGCCTCCCAAGTAGCTGGGATTACAGGCACTCGACACCACGCCTGGCTAATTTTTGTATTTCTAATACAAAATTTTTGTATTTTAGTAGAGATGGTGTTTCAACATGTTTCACCATGTTGGCCAGGCTGGTCTCGAACCCCTGACCTCAAGTGATCAGCCAGATTTGCCTCCCAAAGTGCTGGGATTACAGGCATGAGCCACCGTGCCTGGCCCATAGATTATTTCTTAATATCCCTTCAAGCCATGAAATAATAGTTAAGTAAAAGATACTAGCTATATACCTCAGAGTTATGCTAATATGGTAGTCACTATGCATGTGTAGCTAATTAAACATAAATTTAAAATTCAGTTATTCAGTCACACTAGCCACATTTCAAGGCTCAATAGCCACATGAGGCTAGCAGCTACCACATTAAACAGCATAGATATAGACATTTCCATAATCACAGAGTTACACTGGACAGTTCCTAGAGCACAGAATATAGGATCATTTACCATACTGAACTTCAATAGGGATGGTCTAGTTTGTGGGCAGCCCAGAATATCTTATGTTCCAATTTATTTATCCTCTGCTAACATTACTACCAAAAGACTTGGCAATTAAGTCATAGACTTAATGGCTGGCAGAAAAATAAGTATTCACATGATTAAGTTCTGCATGAATTGGCGAACGAACAGATGAATAAAGGAATGTCCTTGTGGGGATGATAGCAGTGCAGGCAACAGACAAAATCCAAGGGTGTACCAAAACAAAAGGACTATTACTAACAGCTTATTTTAAAATACCTAAAGCATAACTATGCATCAAAGCCAAGTTGCCAGCTTATGTTCATGCTACAAAGCCCATCATCAAGTCTAACTAACGGTCTGAAACCCACAGTAGTTATGGCCTCTATGAAAGGTTGTTATCAAGGCCAAAATTAAGGCAATTTATTAGGTCTATATAAACATTTTTTTTGTTTGTTTTTTGAGACGGAGTTTTGCTCTTGTTGCCCAGGCTGGAGTGTAATGGCATGATCTCAGCTCACCACAACCTCTGCCTTCGAGGTTCAAGCAATTCTCCTGTCTCAGCCTCCTGAGTAGCTGTGATTACAACCATGTGCCACCACACGTGGCTAATTTTTTTGTATTTTTAGTAGAAACAGGGTTTCTCCAGGTTGGTCAGGCTGGTCTCAAACTCCCGACCTCAGGTGATCCACCTGCCTCGGCCTCCCAAAGTGCTGGGATTACAGGCGTGAGCAACCGCGCCTGGCCTGTATAAACACTTAAGAACAAAAGACATATAACATATTACTGAATACAACTCTCATTCTTTAAGGAAATATTAATACATCTAATACCCTATCAATTATACTTGAGAGGGATACCTAGTATACAAAGACACTTGGCCTAAAAGTTACTAGTTTTTTGAGGTTTTTTTTTTTTTTCCTGCCAAAATGTTCCCAACAGTGGGTATTTTTACAAACAGTATCTTTCAGCCTGTCTGTAGGGCCTTTGATACTGTCTGCAGTTTTCTTATTTGAATATTTAAGTTATTACAAAAATGGAAATATAGGGGAAATGACCTGCAGAAATCAAATAATTTAAATCAAATTAAATTTTACTCTTCTCCTTAAAAGTTAGCTTAATTCTCTTAGAGGAAAAAGTACATAGAAAAATGTTGCTGTTCTCTACAAAGATGACGGCTCCTACCTTTTTGATTTTCTTTATCAGATCCTGAAACCTGTTAAAAGAAAATATTTTACTTTTATTCAGCTATTCAGTTATAATTAACAAACCAAAGTAGATTATAGAAACTGAGCCATCGTACCAGTGATTTGTAGAGACTGGAAGTAGGGTTGATTTTAATGAGTTGTAATAGATCCTGCATAGTAAATACCTTAAGAAAAAAAAAAGGTTACTAATTAGACATATTGTTATATCAGTGTTTAAATGATAAATTAGGATGTTTCTGAATATGAAATTAAGAAACATCCTTCAGATTAAATAAGATTATAACTATGCTAATAAAGCAAACTTAAAGCTCTTTCTTACAGTTAAATAACTTACTATAAACATATCAAGGTCAAAAGGACAAAATATCTTTACCATGTAATTAACTTCTAAGTACTTCACATCAAAGATGATATGTCTAACAGAAATGTTTAATGCCTTACAGATGACACTGAAATATCCAATGAATACATGACTGAGTTCCTGGGTCATTCAATTACAATTTTTTAAAAAGTATTCATTGTTTAAAAATGTAAATAAATTTTTACTGTCCTTAAAACCATAATTATACTTAAAATATTGTTAAACAGACATTTTTGGTAGCTATTAAAATATATTTCTACTACAGTATATACCATTCACTATGTCTGCTCTGAGAACACTGATATTTGTTTTCAACTGGTTTTCCTTTAAAGAAAATATTCCGCATGGGCATTTTACATTAGTAGAAACTGTTAAGTTGTATGAACGAGATTAATTCCTGCTATATAATTATGTAATTGACTATTATACAATAAGTAAAAGTATAAAGTGATTAGAAAGTTAGAGAATGATGTATCAAAAATGAATTCCAGGCCAGGCACGACGGCTCACACTTGTAATCCCGCCTCTTTAGGAGGTTAGGCAGATCACCTGGGGTCAGGATTTGAGCCCAGCCTGGCCAACATGGTGAAACGCCGTCTCTACTAAAAATACAAGAGTTAGCCAGGTGTGGTGGCAGGTGCCTGTAATCCTAGCTACTTGGGAAGCTTGAACCCGGGAGGCAGAAGTTGCAGTGAGCCAAGATTGCACCATTGCACTCTAGCCTGGGTGACAGAACAAGACTCTGTCTCAAATAAATAAATAAATAAATTCCTAATATCAATAAATAAAATTTGGTTGCTTATGAAGAAATGCAAATTACTTAAGTTTTCACTCAAATACTGTATTTCTTGTGTCATTAAAACTTTGGAATATGAAACTTTTGGATAATTACAGAAAACACAAAGAAAGCAAAAACATATGAACAACAACAAGAGTGAAATTTATTTTATTTTTGACACAGTCTCGTCCTATCACCCAGGCTGGAGTGCAGTGGCATGATCTCGGCTCACTGCAACCTTCGCCGTAAACTATGGTCTTTGGATGATAATGACATGTCAGGGTAGGCTTATAGATTGTAGCAAATGTACCACCTTGATGCAAGATGTTGACAGTGAGGGAGGCTGTGAGTGCGTAGGGGCAGCAGGCATATGGGAATTCTCTGTACTTCCCACTTAACTTTGCTGTGAACCCAAACCTGCTCTGAAAAAATAAAGTCTATTAAAAAAAAAACAAAACACGCACATATCCACAGGGAAAGTCTGCTGTAACTGCCTTTAAAATAATAAAGTAGTACTAATGTTCAACAGTAATGGTGAAGAAATATAGTTAAAATAATTAGAATAGTAGTAAAAAATAAAACAGGTCTTTTTAATATTTGAGAACTTTACAGATTTTTTAAATTACATATTTCTCACTTATCTAATTACAAAGAAGAGAAACATCTGAAGAAACTAGTGCAGGAAAAAAGAGCTCATGTTAGAGATCTAGATTTACCACCCTGTATTGCCACTTAAAAGTTACTTGAGCTTGGGCAAACTGATTCACCTCTCCAGCGTCTGGTTCCTCATCTGTAACACACAAAACATCTCCAGTGTGCCTATCACAGTGCCAAGCTTACAGTAGGCATTCAGCAGATTGGCAGAATCTTATTAGACAAGATAGAGGATAGATCAATTATAGGTCTGGAACATTTAGAGATTCTATATATCACTATTTTACATGAGACTAAATGAGATACCAAAAAATTAATTTCAAATTTAGTACCCACTTATTATATAACAAATATATTATGTGCAGGTACAACGTGAATTCAAAGAGGAACTAGAAATGGACCTAGTCAAGGAGCACTTAGCTATCATGCAGCACTTTACTGTCAGAGGAAGAACCTGTTAATAAAAAATTCAAAAATAGAAAAGGAAAGACTTTACCTTTTCTTTTGCCAAACCACTTTCTGGAAAGAAAACAGAAAGTGAATATTCATAGCCACATCTTTGTAAGTGATCTGCCACTAGAGAGTTAGAGGCGCCTATTAAGAGGGAGCTCCCTTCTACTGAAATGGACCGAGGTTGCAGTTCTCCACTCAATACAGGGTGCATCAACTCATGAATTAGCTGGTTTCGAAGTTGTGTCTAGTGCAAAATAAAAAAATAAAAAAGAAACAAACACAAGGGAAAGAAATTTCAGCAGGATTGTTTCATTAGAGATATACACAGATGTGTTACATTCATTGGAAACCTTCCTTCTATTTCCATAATGGTTCTAGATCCATGGCCAGAAGTTAGGAACCTTTCCCTGCACACTTTGTCTTACCCCGTGAGACAAGCAGTCCAGTGGGTTCTAGAAAAAGCTTTCTTTCCCCAGCTTCCAAATGAAACGGGTGGTTAGCCAGATCCGCTTGCAGACTCATAACTTCACTTCCCTAGAAGCCCATTTCAGCAGCTTACGATTGGGATATTAAGTATAGGAAAAATTTCTGCCACTTCATCACACCTCTGTGGACTGTTGGAGAATATAACCAAAATATTCAACAACAGGGAACTGCTATATACATTACAAAAATATCCAAAGATAAGCCTGTCGCCACTGAAAATGAAGATTTCAAAAAACCTTTTAAGGAAACAGGGAAATGCTCACCATATAATTTAAATTAAAAAAGGATACATATACAGGATATATCTACGTATTTTAAATGTAAAATATGCTTTTCAAATGCATATTGCAATGAAAACACGCTGAGCTAATCCTACTCCTGGCTGTTAATCCAAATATAAAGTATACTAATAGATATTCGCTGCCCAAATTAAATATTCATACATTTCAATATAGTTTAAAGATGAAATTTTTCATTTCCCAAACTATTAAGCAGTACACTAGTATTTTCTATATGGTGTCAATGTCCTTCATCCAACTGTTTTACAAATCCACTTACTAGTTTAGGAACCTATAAGCCATATTTATAAAACAAGCCTAATCTTACTGTGTTCATTATATAAATATTTCCTCCTATCTTACTGTCAAATTCAATTAATTATTTGAATATGCTCCTTTAAGACTACTCAAACTCAACATTTTCTCAAACGTTTTCAAGAGACTGTAATGTTTCAGGATAGAGAGTTATTCGGGAATATAAAAATGTAATTGACCATTACAATCTATGTATCATACGATTATTAAAACCTAAACCTTGACTGAATTTTAACTACCTGTTACAGGTTACACTTGTAAAAGTTATGACACAGATACGCCTAAATCCGATACCTTGAGTGTGTCCAGTATACCCCGATCCTTAAACGTCTGGTATAGCTTTTTGCGCAGTTCATCTTGACTCAACACATCAGCCACGGGGAGCATGTTGTTCTAGAAGACAAAATGGTTACAGGTTACCTGCGGGGCAGAGGCGTGAACGTCTGAAAACAGACCAGTGGCCTCCGGGGAAGCCATAAGAGGCCTAGCGGGGAAAGGAGTTTTAACGAACACAAACAAGACTTCATTTCCGCCTGTCCCCGAGAAGGGGCAGGTGTGTCTACCTGAGCCATCATCAGGCATCAGCTTCCTCCGAAGCTCGCCTCGCTCGCCCCGCCGCGGCCCGAGTTTAGTGCCCAGCCTGGGCTGTGGGGCCAAGACGAAGGGGAATCCCTGCCCTCAGAGCCCTGCCTCTGTCCCGGGGGTTCGGGAGGAACAAGGGTGCTGAACGTTCTCTGCCTCGCACTCCCAACTAGGTTTTCTAGCAAACACGCGAGCTTCCTTTCTTCACGGTTCTGAGGCATGGGTGAGGACCCAGGCACGACTCAAAGGCGGCTGGAGGGCGGGGGCCCAGAGACTAGGGACTGAAGGCGGCAAGACTTGACCGCTTCACAGCCCATCCCGCAACTTCCGGAGACCTGCTAAGTACAGCCTTCCCTCTCTGAAGAGCTATGGCGCATGCGCTCGGTTGCCCAGCACCGGCCGGAAGCTCCACCTACGTATCGCGAGAGCACATCCCAGGGTATCGCGAGAGCACATCCCAGGGTATCGCGAGAACTGCTTAGGCGTTCTGGCTGTGGATGCGGAGCCGGGGTGTCTTCCGCGGAAACTGACGCTGCGTTTCCGTTGTCGGCCTCCGGCTGCAGGTAGGGAATGGAGCGAGTAGGGGGTGGGTGTTTTGAGTCCCTGGAGGACTTCCTAGCCCCTGCGTGACGCGGATGTTGGTCCTGTACCTCCACCCCTCCCCGGGGTGGCCGGGCCGGACCTGCCAGCCCTCCGCCAGCTCATCCGCGCGGCCCTTCCACCTGCAAACGGCCGCTCTCTCGGGGGCTGTGGTTTCGCGGTTCACGGGGTCATTCAGCTAACCCAGGGTTTCTTAACGGCGGCACTGTTGTCTTTTGGAGCCGGAAGATTCTTTGTTTTGGGAGGCTGCCCTGTGCATTGTAGGTTTAGCTGTATCCTTGCTCTCTATTTTGTCAGTATCACCTTCTCCCCCAAGTGTGACAACCAAAGATGTCTCCAGATATTGCCAGATGTCCTCTTGGAAGCAAGATCGCTCCGGGTTGAGATCCACAGAGCTAAACGTTTTAGAGTACCAACCATTGTGTGCTGTGAGGTAAAGGTGAGCCAGTCCTCATGATGCTTAAATGTAATTAGAAAGAAAAAGAACCAAACCTCTCGGAAGCAATAATGAAAATGTTACGGCCAGAGAATTGAACAAGAACTAAGATGCATTGTAGACTGGATAAAGAGTTTAAATGGCAGGTGGTTGAAGATGGAAGTGATCCAGATCATCTCTGTGGAAAAAGAGTGACTTTATCAGGGCCTTGATGGGTAGGATTCGGGTGGTAAGCAAAAAGGAGAACATCACAGGAAGGGGAAAAATGAGCAAAGGAATCATTAAAAGAAAACAAAAAAGCCACGATCTTCTTGGGGGCAGTGAGGAATCTAGCCTGATTCCAGAGTTGTGTGCTGGGAATATAAGCCTTATACGGTATCTAAGTCCTGTGAGGACAAAATTGGATGTCAGCTTTGTGTACAGCATTGAAGATGAGTACAATGAGTTTTGATCTCTGGCTGTGAAAAACTTAAAGTATTTAAGAGGCAGTAAGAGTGACAGGACTTCATAGGAGGTGGAGAACCTGTAGGTTTTTGTTGGAAACAATTGAAGAGGAGGAGAGGCTTAGTTGGATTTTGAAGGATGGGTAGTAGTTGCAGGCAGAATCAAGGAGAACATGCCAGGCATGAAGAGAGAAATAATAGCAGCTCTGAACTGGATACAGTCAAAGTGAATTTGGGAGAAAAAATAAGTAAACGAGTCAACGCTAGCAGAGGTGGAACAACAGGGCTGAGAAAAGACGTGGAGCAATGTGGGACTGTTTTGAGTACTAGTACATGATCCTGTAGCTGAGATGCATCAAGGCTTTTGAGTGGAATGATGAAAATAGTGTTCTAAAAAGATGTTGATATGTTGTAAATGTTAAGTAGAATCGCTTGTCCACTGGTTAAAAAAAAAAAAATGTTCCTGAAGACCCCCTCACTTCCACCCCCACCTTTGGTCCCACAGTTAAATACATGAATATAATTAGATAAAATGTTCTCGAAAACCTAGCATAACTTCTAAGGGGTGAGAGAATTGCTTATAATAACTAATAGGAAAATGTCACATTAGAGACCTATCAGTAGTATTCCTACTGCCCCTCCTCATGGCAATAGACATATCCCATGCCACACCAGTTTAGTCTCATGACCCCAGGTCTATGGAACAACTGAAACCACTGCTGTCGGGAGCACAGGGCAGTTTTTCTAGCAGCTCTTCTATAGAGGCTGTAAAGAGGCTTGCTACAAAAATGGATGTCTTTGGAACTGGAGTCCATGAGTTTTATGTTGCATTTGCCTGCAACTTAAAATGAGAAGGGACTTCCAAGTTCATTGAGCATCTTGCCACTCTGGCACTGGTGCTGTGCCAGCCACCCCTTAGTTTCTAGTTTCCCAGTGACTTCAAATGAGCAGTCCTGGGCTTGGCCTATGGAACGGTTTGGAATAAGTCTGTGTAGTCCAGGGTCAGCAAATACTTGGCCCTCCTGTAGGCACTGCACTTCCCCAAATTCATAGCAGACATGGATAATTGATCACAGCATTCTTTCCTGCTGACCACACTTAGGCTCAGAATCTTTCTCAGCACCAGTTCCTGGCAGTCACTACCAGTTGATTAGAATTCGCTCATGAAAGGAAACTCATTTGCCATCCCTAGCCAAGTCGCTTTTTCATTAGATAGCTTACTGTATTTAAAGCTAGTACTGTGCTGTACCCCGCTCCCTTTCCACCCCAAAAAGTCTCCCCCGCCCCGTTTAAACATCCTCTTTCCTTCAGTTGCTCTTGTCTGGTTTCCAGAGCATTTCCTAGCCTAGATCCTGCCCTCCCCTCCCCTGTAACACACAGAGTTATTGATCCTTTTACAATATGATTCCCAGAACTGAGTACCTTCCCCAAAGATGATAATATTATTGAAGAGGACATCAGCATTCTCCCCGACCTTGCTCTTAATACCATCTAGAATTGTATTAGCTTTTTTGACAAACCTGTCAGACTTTTGCCTCTTACTGAGCTTGCAGAACTTTTGGGTTGATATAGATGAACTGTTCTTAATCTAGATTTCCCTTGTCCTTTTGTACAGTTAATTTTTAAGCCCAAGTACAAGGCTTTCTTTCTTATCCTCTTAACTTCTATCTTGTTAATTTCACCTAGCTCTCCTAGCCATGGAGATCTTTTTAAATCCTAACTTCTGCCTTCTAATAAGTTAGCTGCCCTTGGTGTTATCTTTGAATGTGATAAGTTATCTTCATTGAAGATATTGATTCAAATACTGAGCTAAACTAGGTTAAGGTCAACCTCAAAGCCTTCCTAGAGACCCTGTGCCATAAATTGACATGGAGCACCCAATGAACGTTCTCCGAGTATTGACA